CACAACTATCTTTGATAGCTCGTTTCTGTGTATAATCCATTCTACTTGTACATGTATGATGTATGTACATACATACATATATATCTATATATATTATTTCTGCGGGTGTGTTGTTGGTTGAAGTGGCAAACTCCAAGGCCACAACGTTCTCTGCTCCGCTGAGGTCGCGGTTGAATTAAGCTGAGCCAAGAGCGCGATGCGAGGACGCTGTCAAAAGAAACACTTGTTTTGACCAGTGCTACCTCAGTGGGCTAGGGATGTTGCCAGCAAGTTGTTGGTTGAAAAGCCATGTTTGTGCAAGTCACGAGTCACATTGCTTGGTCGGCAAAAACAACGCCAGCTCAGGGTAAGCCTAACCCTGTCCTGAAGTGTCCGAGCAAGACCCTGTCCGAGCAAGACCCACTCATCTCCAAATGCAAGTTGTCCCGAAGAGTCTTGGCGATTCCCAACGTCCACATAATCCAAGACAAACCCTACAAACCCTACAAATCCATAAATCATGGGATGGCTGCCGCCACGCCTCGCCGCAGCTGCCAATGAGCTTCGATTGCAGCGATCAAGCTCTGATTTCACTAGCGACTAAAAAATAAGAGAGCACTTTGCTATATGGCCATGGGTCAAAATCCCGTATCCCCAGTGAACATCCCAATCCCCACTAAAATAGACTAAAATGGGTGGTGCACCTACCCCAAGAACCATTGGTTTTGACCCACGGCCATATTTTTCCTATGTGCATGTTCCATTCCATCTTCCATCATACAGCATTGCAGAATGCCCGGTGATGGCAACAAGGGAGGCTCACAGACTCACAGTCTGCAGAAGCCTCAACCGCACAGCGCGCGCAGACAGATGAGACAGTGCCGCAAGAACGCATCTGTGCGGCCACGACAAGTTCCGACAATGAGGGCAAGGACTCAGACAGTAATCAAACAAAGCACGCATGAAGTACTCCTTTGCAGGGACTTGGGCTGTCTTAGACCTCACGGGCAATGTGGCGCAACGAGTTCGTTCGATAATAATTATGCAAAGGCATCAATCGTAGGTCCCCTGAGATCATCAGTTGAGCCAAACTCCTCTGCCCAAGTGCAACGGCATCTTCATTTGAATGGTAATTGCTGATTCACGGCTGTGAAGCACACCATGCTTCGTATCTGATAAACAACTTGGTCTTGCTGATCATGTTGTTTACTCTGAGATTCCTGCGCCGGCCTTTTCCGCGCAGGCAATTGACCTCTGATCAAATGCTGTGCAATACACTACAAATCTGCAAACCCCAACTCCAAGGGCCATACCAAAACCAGCACTCAATAGTGTACATTGTGGTCATTTTGTTTCACGGGACTTCACTAACAAAACTTAGCATGCGGCATGTTCAAGCAAGAAGGAGCAACCCATGCCGTAAATGTAGTGCTGGCTGCGGACTTGAATGCAAGCTTCACTGCCGTGGTGTTGGATGTCTTTTGCCGGCCAACAAGTTGCCATGTTTTTCACTGGTTCACAATCCCAAAAACCAGCGTCTGCTGGGTTACCGTGTCAAAGTGTTGATAGCTTGCCGGTACACGCCGCTTTTGCTCCTTCGCACTTGTCTGGCCTCAGAGGTCCGACATCGACCCACACCGGGGTGGAAAGTTGAAGCACGAAAGGAAACGATGTCCATCCTGCTACCTTGTTCCTTCAAGAAACCGTGTCTGTCAAATCAAGCCGATCGAGGAAGTCAGCCGGATGCCTCAGAACCAAATATGGACGGATTAAGCCCATAATTGCCCAAGAAAACTGCATTGACTCACTAAGAATGGCAGTGCCATCAACAAATACTTTCGGGGAGCAACCAACTGGCATGCACAACTTCAGGGACAGCCTTGCGATCAGAACCCTGACATGCCTATTTATTCGTTTCGCGCCTTAGTGATTTCTCATGTACATGTTCCTCTTCGCCGGTCTAAGCGGCATTGCCAAGCGATTTGAGCCTCGGCAATCCAACTTACGATTCAATGTATTCGGAGCGCGTAGCGTGAGGGGCTGCTTGGGCTGCTTGGGCTTCGCCGTGAGGTGGAAGCAATGGCCCATGAGGTGGTTTGTCTGACCCGAGACCGAGCAAACTCTGTTATGCTTCCTGGCAATGGCTCGACATATAGGTGTATATGACTGTGCACTTGACTTACGTTACCTCCGGGACTTCCAGACGGAAACACGGAATCCACGTCTAACATCCTAGGAACCCTGCATTGCTTAAAATGCCATAGTCAAACAACGTAAAATCTGAAAAAAACCAAGATCGGCAGTCAAACAAATCCAAAGCAAAAAGCAGGTACGAATGCCTGGGACAGCCAATCAACCCAACGCAAGGATGCTGAGATCATTCAATTAGAGCCTTCACAACAATCGGCAGGGCAGAACCAGCGGATGTGCAATCGCAAAAGATCCAAATTATCACTGCCACTCTTTTTCATGCACGACAAATGAATCCTTCAAGGGGGCATCGGCCCCAGAATTTCAATCCTTGAACTCATCCGTCTGCAGCTAGGAAAACTGTCTTGAACTCTGAAAAGCCCCTCCTAAACAATGTCAATCACCGACCATCCCTTCAGCCCTGCGCGAAAGGAGCTTTTGAGTTTCAAAAGGAAAACGTGCTTGGCATGTGCTGCACCGAACTTTGTTCGGTCTAGCGGACCCACATCACCATTGCGACCATGGTTGGCGCTGAGAATGCGAACAAGCTTGAGGAGCCCGCCGTGGTTTCAATCTGACCCGTTGTGGTTGTCATGCTCGTGACTCGTTGTCGTGCTCGTGCCGGGGCAGGAGACCGTGCACGCCGAGGTTGCCGGGTTTTGATTCAAGGCATTCTCCACTTCAGTGGTGCAGCAATCATCTGGATAGCAGCCGATGTAGGTGCTCACATAGTTGCACACATCCCATGTTGTGATGCTGGCCCCGGAAGGAGCGGTGACACCGAGGACACAGGAAGTCGCTGCTGTTGCCTGCTCAACGGTGCAAGTAGCAAGGGCAGCGGGTAAGCCAGGATCATGGCTGCTGCACGCATGATGCCGGTGGACGTGTGCAGCAAATCTCAACTTGAGCCACGCTTGAGCCTGTCTTTACAGTACAGCTGGAAAGAACGGGTTCTCGTTGTTTACTGGTTTCAACTCGATCCCAACTGTGGTTGATGGACGCAACAGGATTCACAACGGATTGCTCAAAGCTTGCAAGAATCGCTACAGGGCATGTAGCAAACAAGACCCTTGAAACCCATCTGAGTACATTCCTGAAGGCATCGTGCAACATGCGATTGTGCAATTGTATCCCACTGCGTCGGGCAATCTTACACCCGGTTCGAGGTCTAGAAGCGATTCCGTGTATGTGTCTCTGTCATACCAACGATCCAAGCCATTCGCAGCCTCGGATAAGTCTCCGCGCAGCACTAGGACTGGAAGTACTGGAACCGCGCGATGGCGGCCAAATTCTCCGCAGTTTGGATGCGCGCCTGGCTTCCCGATGGCAGCTCCGGAAGGAACAAGCTGCTTAGGTTGCAGGTGAATTCTGTATAATCCCCGTAACTCAGCTTAGCTGTTGCCTGCTTCATTCCATTGCCACACAACGTGGCCGAGGAACTTGCCGTAACTTTCGCCACGTAAACCCCGTGTGTGCGGCCTGGCCCGCGCTCTCCTTCTCAAAGGGATACGGGAAAATAGGCTCCTGGAACGCGCGGTGTCACGACGTATCTCCTCACCGTGGAAATCAACGCTTGGGACTCTGCTCTCATTGGCCCGCGGGCGCAATGACCCAACCCTGGTCTGCTTGGCAATGCAATGCTCATTGATTGGACGAGCCTCAGCGATGGTATGGCCAAATCTCTCCTCGATCACCTGCCAAATGGATCATGGGAAATGCGCCAGAGCATCGTGTTCAGTTAGAAGGAGGGCTGCAAAGAGCATGGAATTTGTGGGATACTTGCAAATGTCCCAATGTGGAGTCTTCGGTTGGCTTTGAATTGCAAACCCAACAGACTGCATCCGTTTCGAACGGACCTTGTTAGCCACACCGCGCGGACCCTGGGTTAGCAGAAAGGATGCTCCGGACTCTTAGTTGTACACCCGCTCCCACCAGATATCAGACGTCCATTGGCAGGGCTGTAGTCCACTCCCTGCAAGCTACAAGCCCGGAACCCTACTAAGACGGAAGTTGACTTTCTACCTCCCGGCTCAAGCGCAAAAAAGGTGTGGGCAGAATGACACTTCCAAGTATAGCAAAACAGAGGAGCGAGAATCCAACCCGCTTTTGAGGAATAGGAGGTAGTCTACCAATGCATCCAATATTTAGTCATTCGGCCCGACCAAAATGACCCCCAAAGCGTCTGAAGAAGAATCCATGCATGCCGTGGCATGCTTCAGGAAGCCGTCAGCTCGTCAGCTCTCGCTCGCACTCCGAACCTGCGTGCTGAGGTTGTGCGCATCAAACAAGGCCGCCTCATCCTTCCATCTCTCCTGCAAACCGCCAAAGCACCACCAGCGAGGCAGAGAAAGGCAATGTTCTCCCAAGACAAATATCAAATCGTGGGGCATCATGATCGCTGCACTTGCGCTTGTGGGCTATGGCTTGGCCGAACCGTACCATGTCCAGGGGCTCCAGGTCTTCGCTGGCCTGGGAATCCTCTGACACATCAAGAGCATGGTATCGATTTGGGGTTTCCTCACATTACATAGGGAACCCTGACAAAAGTGTCAACGACTTCCGGTTGGTTCCCCCTTTCAACACTATCCAAAGGGGGTTCCTAATTTGAAAACGCCCCCATGTGCAGGTGCTGAACGACTTCAGCGGTTTGGACTCAGGGCAAAGAAAGGACTTCTGGGGACTTGTCTGGCCAACATCAGCTGACACACTTCAAGAGCATGTTTGATCCAGCAAGGCAAAGCAACTGCAAGTATCGTAATTGGACTCATAGATGATGCATGATGGACGCATGTGATATGGGAACCCCACATCTACAGTTCGGGGTTCTGTGCGTCACGAGACAAGCATAGCGGACTGCCAACGGGAAAACCTGAAGAAGCGATTCCTCTTGCATACTGCAGCGTTGTGCCCCGTCCAAACTGAAAGATAAATCTGCATAGTGCCATGATGCACCTCTGGATTTCAGCCCTTCCCTTCCCCACTGCCCACATGCAAAGGGTAATCAGAACACAAGGCTCTGGGAGCAATGCTGGAAGCGACTTTTTCTGCCCTCATTTTTCTCTGGAACGGCCAAGCGAGGCTGCAAGAGGCTTAAAGAGCCTCGGGAAATTCGGCTGGTGCTCGTTGGGCTGACAAAAGCCTTCGCATGGCTGGAGAAGCTACTGGAAGTTACGTGGCGTGTACCTGCTTGGGAACCACGAGCCGGTTGATTCCTGGCTCCTTCAAAGGCATCAATAAGGCTCACAACGGCAAGACAATTCCATCTTCAAAAGCAGGACCATGCACGAAAAGTCGGCTTTAATCCAGGGCCGCCTTGGCAAGATTCCGATCTCCCTGATGATCTCACACAAACCCAAACATGACTGTGCACGATGCTCCTTCAAAAAATCAGAGTCTGCTCTTCCCTTGAAGCGGCCCCTTGGCAAATTTTGAGGCCCAGCACAAATGAGAAGGCTCCGTGCCGTCAGCCACCAACCAGAAACTGGGCCAACCTCATCGGCCGCATTTGCGGCCTTTCATCCTCCATCACGCAACTGGGATGCTTGCGCTCTCCCTGCGGCCAGTGTCCTGCCAGGGAGCCACTCGATTGACGCTAAGGATGAGGCAACAAATCTGCTTTTGGAACGCGACATTTTCTGGTCTCCAAAGCAGCTTTCGCCCTGTACTAGTAGGATTGAGGTGCCCTTGTCAATGAGGCGCTTGACCTTCCGGACTTTGAACCTGGTATGCACACTGACAGCATCACTGTAAAACACAGGCAGCTAGTACCCACTGTTGCCTTTAGCCCCGGGCGGCCTGTTGAATCTTGTCAGGCCCTCAACACGTGACAGCCCCCGTGAAACACATCTCGCCTCCTGTCGCTTCCCGTAGGCAGTCATCTCTTCATCGGTCAGGAGGCACTCATCCAGCAAAGCACGGATTGCCGCCTGGCAGTTCCACAAGCTGTATCACCTTCCAGCATCGCAAACACATGTCATCACCCATCAGGTAGAGGGCATCTGGACTCAGACATGCATATTTTGCTGTGGCTCAGGGATCACAGCACTCAGTTGTAGGGTTCGTGAGCCTTGGCTTCAAACGAGTAGCCACTCTGCCCAAAACACCACTCGACCCGACGGCAACATTCTACGGGTTGATTCCCATTCTTTTCAAGCATCGTTCTTTTCAAAACCCAAGAGGTTTCCCCTGGGGTTCTAATGGTATCCCTGGAAAGAATGGCTGGAAGTGTTTTACTACAAACATGATCTTGTCCTCAGAACTTCAAACCTCCAGCGCCTCGTCTAACCTTCGGCCGATGAAGACGATTTCTTGTCTACGGTCTCCCCACGCATCATCCCAATCCTGGCGCGAGATCACCATCGCTAGCCACTTTGTAAACAAATTTCATCAAAACTATAGTCCCAAACAAGATAACATGTGACAGCAAGACACCAGCACTTGTTAGTCCTGTCAGGCAGATATAGGCAACACTCCTCTGCCAATGGTACACAAATCATCTCTTAGGCTTCAAGCACTGGAAACAACGTTGTAGGGACACTCCCGTCAACAAAGCATGAACCACGCATAGGCAACTCGAATACATGCGTAACGTGCAAATCAGTCCCACTAGCGGAATTACACGAGTCACCAACGCCCAAGTCATGGACATCGTTGTTGATATGGTGTTGCTTAAGCTTGATGCCTAAGTCTCATCACAAAATAACTTAGGCATCTTATTTTAGACGATACACGATGATTCACAGCATCATCAGTGGCTGTGCTTGGGAGGAAGCAGAGTCCACATGAGCTGATGCTCAGGACATGTAACCGGCCACAAGCTGCTTGCTAACCGAGGTCAGGTCTGCTCCTGAAGTTTCCGGGGGTCAAATCGGCCCCAACGTTCAAAATGAAAAGTGCTGGGTGACTTTAGGTGAGATACAACTGTATGTAGAACATGCAAAATTGAGTAGATGAATAAATACATTTATTCCTAAATAAATACATAGATGCACCAATACATTAAAAAAGAAGAACAAAACAACACATCAATAAAACAAAGCAACAAAAGGAATACATAAACACACACACACACACACACACATGATTCAATATACACATGTATATAATCAACAATACAAACAATAAATACGTAGCTAAATACATTACATAAATGAAGAAACAAATCACATAAATACATAAATATTGAAATATTTAAGATACGTCCAAAAGCTGAATTGAGGGCACATGTGTACACACATGGGAAAGTGATGGGAAAGTGTCCCTTCTCTCGGGCCCTCAAGGACCTGAGTGCAACAGTGTGCTGTGGTAGGTGTGCTATGAACCAATGGCGTTGATCGTGCAGAACCATACGTGACGTGTGTAAAATGTCATGCTGCATTTCCTGCCCAAATGCTTGTTGGAAAGATTGCCAAAGAATACCTACAGCGGCGGTGTCAAGGGGGCACTTTCACTTGTCACCTGCCTCTCGAAGGGCTCGCTCGTACTCGCCCCCAGCAAGGCGCTCCATGATCTTGATCTGGGGCGAGGCATTGATCAAAGGGCCCGGCAATGTGGCCGGCCCCCTTCTGTTAAGAGCAACCCATAGATATTGGGAAGCTGCGATCCGGGTCCAGGCAAGCAAACCGAACTGGCCAGGCCAAAGCAAGGAGCTGCTCCAAGAAAGAAAGGATCAACCTCTTGGGGTCTTGGGGTCCTGTGAAAAACGACCTTGGCGGCACAGTAAGCCTTGCAAGTGCCGCGTCCGCATCTGTTTCACCCCTCCCGTGCTGGTCATCTATGGTTTGCTGAAATGATGCAGTGGACCTAAGAGCCAAGCAAGCAAAGGGGACACGCTCAGCCAATCGCGGCCTACAAGTGTCAACAAACTCATTGGCCATGCTCCATGACATAGAAAAAAGGGAATGACAAACCAGAACAAAACCACTCGGAAACATGCATGTCCCGTGGCAATCTGCCAAGGAATATGCCATGGCAGCTGTCCAGATTTTTGGGGCCCACATCTGTCTCAGGCATGGCATCTGCCCAGGCCTGGCTCTTGGTCATGGCACCCCACCAAACGCCAGAGTAAGAGAGCTTCATGTCCTTTCCTGCCTGGGGAAAGGAGCTGCACGCAGGACCAGGATTCACCAAGCCAAGCAGCCCACAATCGCTCTGCCATGTTTCTGTTGGGAATTCAAAGGATCACGGACTTGCCCATCATACATTGATTTAAAGCCAAACAAAGAGGCATCTTTGCAGCCCAACAGTAACTATCTGTGACGAATTATATGATTACAGTAGGGCCATTGAGGGTTACGGGTCATGACCTCGCACACACATCTGAGTCCTGACAGGGTTGAGAAAGGAAAGACCACCATCTTCACCAGTTTCACCAGTGACCTGAAGCATCCGGAACCTTTACAACATGAAGGTGCAGGCTTGTCCGCTCGCTTCCGTGAAACTTGAAGCAGCTACTGATACTTGAGCTTTAGCTGGGTCATGCGCCAACATGCAAACTTGTCAATGCCACCCAACACTTGCAACACATACGACTAATCAAACTCTAATTTCTCGCAAGGGACTAATGTGGATTCAAGAGGTGCAAAACAATCGCGACCCCGAGCAGAACTCGGCAACTCCCCCTCCCCCATTTCAGCAAACAGGTGGTGTCCGCACCCAACCGACACAAGCCTACGAAGAAAGCCTTGCACGGCAAAGGTCAAACCCTTCGAACTGTGGCAGATCGAAGCGCAACAAACACATCCACTGGTGCACTGCAAGAAACCGACCCGCATTGGCCGAGATCTACATCGGCATGGCCACCCTGAAAAAACAGCCGAAAACTCAGCCTGAAAAAAACATCCAAAAACTCTTGCAGATGTTCCAAAAACATCCAAAAACATCCATTGGCCACCGTATGCAGATGTCGTTTTTACCAAATCTCGGAACTCGGATCCGATTCCGAGAGGCGTGGCTCCAGTAGATCCGGGTGGAGGGCTCCTGCTCCAGCCAGCAGAAGCCTTTGGAGCGGATCACGTTGGCCCTCGGAGCGATTGACTCGGCGCAGGTCGAAGGTGTCGGGTGTCGGGTGTTGGTTGGGAGGGAAACCCAGCAAAAACCAAGAGAAACCTGGTTGGCTTGAAGGGAAAGCAAGGGGAACCTGTCGCCACCTCGCTTGCAAGGACCTGAAAATGAAAGGTTAAGCTGTTGGGGTCATGACTAAAACTAGACCAAACCCGGAAAACTAAAAGGTCAAAAGGTCGGCTTTGGGTAAGTAAGACACACGAACTTGTGCTCAGATCTGGGGATGGCGGTGACTCAAATATGGCGCTTGCCTTTGACAACTGGGGGGTGTTTTGGAGGAGAGCGCCACGGCTGAGTGTTGGTTGTTTCAACCCAAACAGTGTCCCCTCTTGATCTCGCATTTTCGCCAGGATCCTTTGATGACCGCAGGGGAGAACGTCAAAGTCTACGGTGGACTCAGCTGAAACGGAGAACTTTTGGGGACCTGTTTGGGAACACCTTGGCGCTGGCGGACTCAGTTGAGACAAAGGATTCGCGTGGTTTATATTAGCATGACTTGCTTCTTCAGCTGGGCATTGCAACTCCGCGGAATTAATCACTGAGACGTCGTTCACGCCAAGCGTCTGCAAAACAGGGCACGGCTTTCACGGCTTTCTGTCCGTGTGACAAAAACAGGGGTTGCAGGGCTTCATTTTTGAAATATGTTGGAATCCCACGCATGATCCTGCCAAGGATATGCGCCAGTCTCGCCTGCTCGCTCATCAAGTGTTTTACGGGGAAGAACACACAGGCTGGGAACAAGACTTGCTGCTTGATGTCTTGCAGCTCGAGCTAAACAGCACTGGAGAGGTACCACCTGTTCGAATGCAGGATCTGAAATCATCCAGCTTGGCTTCCCCTGGTGAACCTGAGTGTTGCTTGGGCGCAGCACTGAACTGAGCATTCCCATGCCTGCAATATTTGTACACACACACACCACACACAACAACAAACACACACACACACACACTCACACACAACACACACACACACAACACACACACATGTACACTAAAGTGGCAAAACAAAAGGCGCGAACAACATCACCAAACAAAGCACATGTCGTCACATGCGACATCTCACCAGGTCTAGGACGGGATCAAAAAGCCTCCAGCCACAGCCTATTCCAGGCAAATCACACACACACATCTTGAAACCTCTGAAACGCCGGGCCCAAAGATCAAGCTGCATCCATGGAACATGGGATGGTCGCTGCTCGGCTCCTCTGTATCCAGAAACAGCTGCAGGTCGCTCTGCTTGGGCACCGGCCACTTCTTCAGTGCCTGGCATGGTGCATCGTTCCCTGGGCGAGGGCTTTGACCTGCTCCTTCAGTTGTTCCGAATGTATGGGCCACAATCCTTATCCCAGAGGCGTGTTGAACTCCGCACTCCCAAAATGGCCCAGAAATCAGGGATTGCGCCATTGAAGGGTCATGGGCACCTCATAACAACTAAGAACACTCGTGGCCCCGGCTGCTTCAGAGGCTTCAAAGGCCATGAGTCAAACATTTCTTTGGTCGAACGTATAAAAAAAGGGCCTCCCCAGCTGCCCCTTCAACGGCGACCCGCGAATGTCTTCGTGAAATAAGCAACTTGAAAGGCAACAAACGCTTCATGTAGCTTGCATAACATGTTACACACCATGCAACGTCTCAGAGTGTCGATATTTAAAAAGAGAGTTGCAGAACTTGTCTAGGACCTTTGCAGAGATGCCGAGCCAAATGCAAACAAAACTACGAAGTACCACGCTGTATTGAACAGCTGCCAAATGTTGTTTTGCCAATTCTTTGAGGTTCCCTCACATAAAGCACTTGTTTGTATCACAGCCAGCTTGCCTAGATGTCAAATGACATCAGTGTGAATAACCCCGGATGCATCTGCCCGGTTCTGATCGGGAGATGCTTCCAAAAGTACGACGTTCACTTCAGAGAAAACCCCTCGCACAGTCATGAGCGGTTTCTTGATCTTTAAGCAACACAACAACTACAGGTCACAGGGCATACACCCAAAGTGCTGGATTCAGAACGAGACCTCGCTGATGAATGAGACAAACGCCCCCCAACAAGAGAAACCGCCACTACAAGCGACAATACCAAGAGGGGTCTTGATTTGTGTCGCGATGCCCAAACTGTGTGTAAAGGTTCAGCTTTTTGATTCGCATGGCTCGAAGGTCTTCTATTCAAGCGCTCAAGGTTTAGGTGCCATGGAAACAGCGAGGGGCGTGTCGTTGAGAAGTCCAACACTCTCACGGAGTTTTTAGTTGATTGTTTTTTGAGCGTTCACCCTGCATCCCATACTGTGTGACCTGTCCCCTTTTCTGGGCAACAAAAACGCCAGCCCTTTCCGTTTGCCCTGCCGCCTGAGTAAACCGCTCTTCGCTGAACGGTCTTCTGGCGGCGTAAGTAAAGGACACGATGCCAAAGCGGTCCTGGTCATGGGGGCTGCGGCGAATTTCCAGCTCAGATCAAGGGATGCACTTGAATCAAGCGCTGCCAAAAGCAAGGAGCTTGAGGTCAAAGAACAGCTCAAGTTTCCTCCGAGCCGATGTCATGGCCTTATCTCTCACCTTTCGTTTCGAGGGATACCCCCCAAGCTGCAAAGTATAGAGGCCCCATCCTCAGCATCAACAATTCCACGCGCGAGGTGCCACGGGGTGCCCATCAACAAAGCGACAATCCGAACAGAAGCAGCTCTGACCGTGGCGGCTCGTATTCAAATAGCTTGAACGAATCCAGCAGGCAACCTCAAGCTACCATTTTTTAAGAAGAGGTTGATCTGCGTTTCTTTGGGTTGCACCCTGCAATCTCTGGGGTCTGTGCAGATTCTCTGGAAAAAAATGTGCCGCTCTAAACCAATCGTCCACCTCCTTGCGAGCAACGCATCCCTCCTCTGCGGTGGTAGTGCCATGGCTGTGCTCGTGGCTGTGGCCTCTGTGTGGCATGAGGCATGGTCACACAAAGAGGCTTGTCTGTGGCCAGTCCCATGGAACAGTTGCAGCATGCTTGAGGAGTTTCAGAGTGATGTGTGCCATCAAAACATCTTGCATGGCTGGCTGCCTTGGCTAGCATGGGGCTAAAGAAGCATCATGTCATGGCGGGCAAAGTAAAGAACTCTCGGTAACATGGTTTGACCCTTGCACATACGACCCAGCTGAGAGTGATCCCCCCTGACCCTCTGCTTCCTGCTCAAAGGTGCCCCCCCGGAACAACCGGGGTCAGGCTTGGTTGCGTGTCCCTTGCCTGCTTTGAATGCACTTGGCAAAATCCGCCGACCCCATGCTTGGTCCAGAATGGACCATGCTTTCGGCATGGGGGCGGTGTGTTCTGTGTTGCTTTTGTTGATATGCTTTCTATAAGTTTAATGTGAATATGATTATGTAGATATATATATATATAAAACCTATATGTCCCTTGGGGCGGCCCTTGGGGCTGGTTTCTACGTCGGCTGGATTTCTGGATTTCTGGATTTCTGGATTTCGGATCTCTGGATTTCTGGAAGTCTGGATTTCTCCCCCTCCCCCCCCCCCCCCCTCCCCCCCCCCTCCCCCCCGCCTCCCCCCCCCTCCCTCCCCCCCCCCTCCCCCCCCCCCCTCCCCCCCCCCCCCACCCCTCCCCCCCCTCCCCCCCCCCTCCCCCCCCCCCCCCTCCCCTCCCCCCCCCCCTCCCTCCCCCCCCTCCCCCCCCCCCCCCACCCCCCCCCCCCCCCCTCCACCCCCCCTCCCCCCGGCTTCTTTTCTTCCCGTAGTCTTCCGTAGTCTTCCGGCTTCTCCCAGTAATCTTCCGTAATCTTTCGGCTTCTTCCCGTAGTCTTCCTCCGGCTTCTTCCCGTAGTCTTCCGTGGTCTTCCGCCTTCTTCCCGTAATCTTCCGTAATCTTTCGGCTTCTTCCAGTAGTCTTTCGTAGTCTTCCGGCTTCTTCCCGTAGTCTTCCGTAGTCTTCCGTAGTCTTCCGTTCTTCCCGTAGTCTTCCGTAGTCTTCCGGCTTCTTCCCGTAAATCTTCCGCAATCTTTCGGCTTCTTCCCGTAGTCTTCCGTAATCTTCCGGCTTCTTCTCCTAGTCTTCCGATACTGTTTCGGGACCAAACAACGCGCGTGTCCTGTGCTTTCGGGCTTCTTCCCTAGGCTTCGGGTAGTCTTCCCCCACCCCTCCGCCCCCCCCTGTGTCTGTCTATGTCTGTCTACGTATCTGCATCTGTCTTCGTGTCCGCGAAGACCCCCCCTGCCCCTGCGTGTCTGTCTGTGTCTCTTTGTGTCTGTCTGGGTCTGTCTGCGTCTGTCTTCGTGTCCGCGAAGACCCCCTTGCGTGTCTGTCTCTGTCTCTTTGTGTCTGTCTGTGTCTGTCTGTGTCTGTCTGTGTCTGTCTACGTATCTGCGTCTTCTTCGTGTCCCCCCCCCGCGTGTCTGTCTGTGTATTTGTGTCTGTCTGGCTCTGTCTGCGTCTGCCTGCGCATCTGCGTCTGTCTTCGTGTCCGCGAAGACCCTCCCCCCCCCGCTGCGTGTCTGTCTGCGTGTCTTTGTGTCTGTCTGTGTCTGTCTACATATCGCGTGCTTTCTCTCGTCCCGGGCCGAAATTCTAAGGTGCGTGGGGGCGGCGGAACCAGGCCGCAGGCCATTAAATCCTTCCAGGCTCCAACATTTCGGGGTCACTATGTCTTCGGTGAGTGGGGCTAGGATGCTAGAGCATCATGGCATGCACGGCGGCTGGCTCAATGTCCGCAAATTCTGTCGAAGATTGCTCAACATCTCGGCCGACTGCCCCTGAGCCGCCGACCATGGCTGGGGTCGGTGCAGTCGGGGTCGTTGCAATCGCTGGCATGGCTGTGGCTATGGCCATGACTTGGATCTGTGCAGCTCGGGTCGCTGCAATCGCTGGCGTGGCCATGGCTGTGGCCATGACTTGCATCCGTACAGCTCGGATCATGGCAGTCGCTGGCGTGGCTGTGCGCGTGCCCATGCTCCTGCGATGGATCGCGCACAGCTCAGGCAGCAGCCGCACATATTGGGTGCGGCAGCAGCCACAAAAATGCAAGCAGATGCAACGGGACAGGCATTCTTTGCTCACCGAATGAGAGGAAACCAATCAAGGTAAACAAAGGGGGAAACAAGCACCAGTAGAGGACTGTAGCCATGAGCTGCCATGCTTCAATCAATTACCAGCTAATCTTGTGTGCTGAGGCAAGCGTCGGCTTGGGCATTGGCCATAGCAGTTTTGGACTTGTGAGAATTGGGTCCTTTCAAACGATTACTTGCGAGTTTGGAACTCAACACAAACACCTTACTTGCCCTACAGCTCGCGCGCTGGGTGGTCCTCAGCGTGGCCGTGCTCTTCATGGCCATGCTCCTCGTGGCCGTGCTCCTCGTGGCCGTGCTCGTGCGCCCGGCTCTCCACCGCACCCTTGGTCCGCCACAGCTGGGGGATTTGTGCCACTGCCAAGGTCGGGTGCATGCAAAGAATCGTGTGACTGTCTAAGAAGAAGCTTCGCGCTGATAGCACACGCTCACACCGAAGCTCGCGACCATCTCCTGTTTGCAATTGGATGGAAGGCCTAAGACCAGCGCTGTGAGCACGGAGTCGAGGCTCACCTTGCCATAGGACGTCTCGATGATGGTGGCCTGCACACTGCTTGGCAACGGACGTCTGCGATCACCAGCTACTGCCTTATATAAGCAGCCAGCCAAGTCTGGCTTGCCTGCATCCCTGGCAACCACCAATTGCGGAACCAAGTGCTGACCTGCGCCTCCCACAATCCATGATTTAGATGCGAATCTTGGCAAAACGCAACCTCTCGCGTTCTTGGGGGTGATCTTATGGCAACAAACTGAAGCCAGCACAAGCACTGTAGCCTCCCCCCCCCAACCTAAGCCCTTCAGCTACCAGGCAAGAACAAAAACGCCAAACTGCCGCCTGTTTTCTGTTTCAAAGGCTGAGCAATAAACATTGCTCTGTGAGCCGTCGCTCGAACAAATATGGCAAGCGAGACACACCTCTGGTTTGTATCAACTAGGCCGGGCCTAAACTAAGCTTCAACTCTATCCCAAAAGGCTGACTTGCGTCCTTGACATAAGATACTTAGACAATAAACCAATCAAGCAATCACTCACTCACTCACTCACTCAATGAAATCAAATCAAGCCAAGTCAAATCAAATCAAATAAATACATAAATCAATCAATCAATAAATCAATCAATCAATCAATCAATCAAATCCAATCCAATTCAATCCAATCAAATCAATCAAACCAACCGACCAACCAACCAATGAATCAATGACTCAATGACTCAACGACTCAATCAATCAATCCAATCAACCCAATCAATCCAATCAATCCAATCAATCCAATCAATCCAATCAATAAATCAATAAATCAATCCAATCAATAAATCAATAAATCAATAAATCAATAAATCAATAAATCAATAAATCAATCAATCAATCAATCAATCAATCAATCAATCAAACAATCAATCAATCAATCAACCAACCAACCAATCAATCAATCGAATCGAATCGAATCGAAATCGAATCAAATCAAATCAATCAATCAATCAAACCAACCGACCGACCAACCAAGCAAGCAATCAATCAATCAAGCGACACTCCAAACCTCATGAGCAGCGTCCTCTACGCAAAACAACAACGGGATCTGTCAAAGTGGCGGTGAAGAAGGACTACATGCGTAAGGCCACAGAACCAAACAGAACTGGTCCAATCATTCGGTGCTTCGGCCGTCTGGCAGTTCCCTGGATGTCCAGCCATTGGCCAATCGGTGCCTTGTCGTTGATGGCCTCCACAACTGCCCGGGTCGCCTCAAGCTGCTCCTGGAGATGTGCGAATAGGGTTAAAAAGGGAAGTAGGACCAACAATCTGGGCGTCTCTTTTTTGTGGATACCCCTTGTTGGATGGTTTCAAGGGAAACCAAGAGGAAAACCAACCTTTCTGGGGATCCTCAAAAACGATACACACCCACAATGTCCAACAATGTAAGGAAAAACACAAACAAATCTCTGGTTGAGGGCTGGTCGGTGTTTGTGTATTGTGCCCGTTGGATTGATGATACTTGGGAGAACTGCCACCTCTTGCTTGCTTTGTCGCCAGAACCTCATGCAGGCAAGGCCTTGCAAACTGAATCAATGACGAGAATGCATTGGTTTTGCACGCGTCTTCTTGCCCATGCGGAAGATCCGTGATTTGTTGCAGTTGCGTTACCTGTACAACAAAGGCCTGCTCTTAGTTGCTTTGACAGAAGCCTCAGCAGAGAGCCCCAAAGTGAGTCAGGGTTGTTGAGAAACGCCTCAATTATAAAAACTAGTGCCCCCCCGTTTAGAATGTAAGTCAAACACATGCAAGCTGGGCAAAAAGTGACTAACCCTGCCTGTCTAAACTGGCTCAGGGAAAATTTAGGGACGACTGTCTATCGGCGGTCGAAGCAGCGGTCCTTACTGGCCAGGTCCGTCTTGTTGAGGACCACGATGTCTGCAGCCTGCACAATGCTATAGAACTATCAAGGCCGAAAAGTCCGGGTGTTTGGCGACACTGTGGAATATGAAGCTTCTCGAGCCCTGACACAAGGCTACTGTCCTTTGGAAAGGGAGTTTGGTGCTTCCATGTTTGGCTGGAGAGCACTTTCTAGCATTCAAGAGCTGCAGCGAAGCCGCTGGCCAAAGCCATGTCACGCTTCGGCTGTGATGCTCACAAAATGAACAGGCTACTTTCAACTTGCCATGCAGCGAACTCCCAGTGAATTTGCATCTCTGGTCTGGGGGGCACTTGTCATCCATCACTTGCAAAGGAGCAGTGCAAGACGTACCCATGCAGTGAAACAGTCGTCGTTGCGAAAGCCAAACTAGCAATGATCTGGAAACAGCACTGTATTTCCAGACCACTCTTTCGCTGGAGGTTCTACCATGTTCAACCAAGATCTCGCCACATGGGCCGGAAACGGCCTGCAGAAACACCCGGATCACGGCGAAAGCCCGGAGCAACCGGGCGGGATGAGGCGCCTCGGTTTGCTCCACCAAAAGCTCCACCACAGAGCAGTCGCCCATCTCGCCCATGTCACCATCGATCAGGTCGTCCCGGTTCATGACACTCTGGTACTCCATGTACTCCTTCCCACGGAACTACGTGAATTTGTCATGCAAACACACTGAAACTGTAGCATCCTTCACAGGGTCGCATAGCTGGTAAGCCTCACTCATAAGATCTGAGGGCCTGATTGTCAAGGACTCCTGTTCCTAGCCTTAGCTTCACAGCGCGGTTCAGCCCCACCACAGTACCGATATCAGTCGTCTGCCCCACCAAGCCATCTGGCGATCCATGCTCTCACGGAGTGCCTCGCAGAAAGTGGACGCATCCAGCAGGGTGACCACTTTGCTAAGCTCGATGCCATTCACCACGTAGTACCTCATGCCCAGGAGCTGGGGAGCCGGGGTGCGAGCCTACTTTGAATGCCTCGTTTCTTACGCATCTGATCTGAACAAACACAAGCCGCACAAGCCTGTGTTGGTTTCATCTAGATCCAGCGGAAAAAAGCAAGCCAGTTGCCCTGTCAAGCTTTGCGGGGCCACTTGAAGCCTGGTCAAGTGCTTAGTCCAAGCCTGCAAGGCACATTGATTCCCTTCTGGCGTGTGGTCCATCCCTCCAGTTTCTCTCCTGGGAGATGGTGGATAGAAAAATCCTCGTTGCTGACTTGTGTGCTGACAACAACATTTGTATAACTAGCTTTTGAACATTCACGGTCGAAATGGTTTACCAGGGAACTTGGCTCGTGTGCCACGACATGAGAACTCATGGACAGACTCGCGGATTCGGCACCCAACTTTCGCCAGGCTTCCCGGTGGCTTTGGCTTGATCGAAGTTCTCCCTGACTCGCGCTGGCTCGGCAACCCCGCTCCTGAGAGGCATGGTCATGGAAACGACCCTGGCAAACAGGCCATGTACAATCTGTTGGGCCGATCCCCCTTGACACTCGCTGGAATTGAACCGTGCAACGTGTCCCAATAACCCGCACAGTCAATGTATGGGTTGTGCAGTGATTGAATGAGAATCATGCAGGCAGGCATTCACGACGCGGAGTTACATGTCAACAAAACACAGATGCGTATTTCCTGCATCCACCAAGGGTTGCAATGTGAGTTAAGGGTCTGGATAGTTCGCACGCCCTTCACACCGGATCTCGCTTGGTGGGATCTCACTCTTGGCCAGTGGTCAGACTCCCCCCTGTGTAAACCAACAAACTCAAAACGGGGATGCCAGTGTTTTAAGATGATTCAAATGTGTGCGGGGTGTGGCCTGTACCAGTGTGCTGGGTTTGGTGCAAGCATCAGCACCGAGAAAACGGACCGGGTAGCAATCAGAATCAGGACCTTCCCGTGCCTAAGGCACGAAACAAACATGTGACACATGTTGTTTTTGGATGTTATCTCCCTCCCTCTCTCTCTCTCTCTGTATGTTTGGATGGGCCATTCCTGTGATACATCCGGCTCAGAACCCAAGCGGATTCCAGGGGCATCTCAACTTGAGCACAAACAATTGACGGGTCAAACTCCGCGATCGATATGTTTACATCCAACTCCCAGGACTTGTGCTTAGGCCCTAAGCCTTGGGATCCCAGTGGCAGCTCCACCACGATCTGGCTGAAGGGCCTGTCCTTCAATCGCCGCATCGAGACCGACCGCACCAAGCGCTTGTGAAACAAGTTGATGGAAACCACGTACTCCAAAAGCTAAATCCTCCATGATTTTCTCAAGGGAACTTTCAGACCAGTACATGAAAGTGAGATGTCCACCACTGTCTAGCAAAAGAAATCAAACATCGGCCCACTCCAGAGAGTTGGATGGCTAGAAAGCCTGAGGACCGTACCAAACCTCAAAACCAGTTCAAACCCAAGACATGTAGAATGCTAATCGATCGCTTTGGCTCAGCACCGCGCACCAATAAGGATCTTTTCCAAAACAACCACTAGGTATAACCACTACAACTGACCCTTGAGGAGGCAATGAGACGCACTGTATACATTTCTGTTGGCTGACGGTAGCATCCGGGACGTCTCATGTTTCCTGTCCTTCGTCGTCAGCTCCAGGAGGTCAAAAATGCTCACCAGTAGCTCATCCCCCAAAGAGCAGCAGGCACAGCCATTCCTCAGTCTGAACTCAGAGGCATGAGCTAAACACATGCTAAAGCAGAACCAAACGCTCCAAGCTATTTCCGAACATCCTTCGTCTACGTGCTTTTGCATGCAGGCGTGCCCCTAAGTGCTTGCAGATTGCCCGCTCGCCACATAGCACCATGAACGGTTGGCGCAAAACGAGTAAATAGCAAGGGTCCAATCATGTCAACGTAGGTGTCGTTTTTAGCGGACCAACATGGTGTTGCCGTTCCTTGGTTTTTCTCTAAAACCACAAAAACCGGACACCTCCGAAAAAAGACACACCCATGTGCTTCCAATTTCCTCTAGCCATGCTGGATGTAGCCATGGCGCTGCAGCTGAATTGCGTTCACCTCCCCCTCGGGGTTGTAGGTCTGCTGCTGCACCTTGGCAACGGCTAGAAGAGACATGTTGGTTGCTGCATTTGCGATGTGGCTGTGGCTCCAAAACACGGTACAAAAATGGAACCCCCTGGTAAGTGGAAACATGGACCAAAACCTGCGTAACCCCTGTTGTTTCATTTTGAATGTGGGTTTCTGTTCGGCGTCGTTGTTGTCTCCTCGAAACGCTCAGTGCCGGACAGTCTGATCATTAAAAACGACCAGAAAGGTTCTAGCTTGCGTATTATATGCTCAGACAAGCCTGATTGTGTGATTGACGCACATCTGCAAGTGTGTATTGAAAGGGGTAAGTCATCAAGCATGTCCAATGAAGATAGAAGCGACACTTGTTTAACGTCAAATCGAAACTTTGGCTCAAACTTGCACTGTGAAATGCATAAACCTAGGGATCACACGACGCGCAATCAGGTCAATATGTCCAGACTGGCCAGGTCTAGACTAAGCTCATGGTCCTCATTCAAAGATGGGCTCTCTGTAGGTTTAGGCTAGGTTTGGGACCGATGTAGAGTGTGGAGGGCTCGCGAGGAATTGAAATAGACTCAAGATGAGAGACGTCATTCATTCCCTTTTTCAGTCCCCCCCCTCTCGTGATTTGGGACATGAGCTTGAATTGATGTCTGATGAAGTGTTGTTTGATCAGGCGTTTGGTCAGGTTTGCGTGCTTCACAGCCCGGCTGGTAAATGTTTGGTCGATGCCAGCAGCATTACGATGCTTCAACAATTTCCCTTCCGTGCTACTGCAAGCCGCCCTTCGCTTGGCGTACTTCCCTTAGATTGAACCGTACTAGCAACAAACGGGGACAGGGTTGCGTGACCCTCCCTTTCAGCCTGCTTGTTGCACAACAATGCAGCACGCAAAGGATGTATTTGTAGTTGTGCTGGAACATGTTGGCAGAGGAACACAGACATCGAACTAAATGCAAAGCCGTTTGGCAACAATTTCAACCCGACTCCACCTGGCAGGAGCAACCTTACCTTCCATTTGGTTCAGACCCTGGAGAAAAAACATATTTCCAGTATTGATAGATTCCCTTTCAAACCAACAGGGGAAAAACATATTCTTAAGCAAATGGAAGTTGCTGATGATAGGGCGTTAACTCGCTGCAGCGCATGCAGGCGCATGCCATGCGCTGCTTGTCCAGGCGCCAACTTCGAATCGATGTTCACCGCTGCGACATCGTTCACCACCACACCTCGCCGAAATTCGTCGAACCGGCCGGCAATTCGGCACGTTGCATCACATCGGGTGGGGCATGGACGCACACACACACACACACACACTTAAACTCCAGATGGAGGGCGCTAATCTTTCGAGTACAACTGGTAAGTTTCGGCTTGGATAAGGTTCTTCATGCATAAGTTTCGGCTCGCAATGCACTCGGCTTCCCTCTAGTGTCGAAAACGTTACCCGAAAGAACAAGAAGCACAAACAGCGCCGCAACCAAGGGGGCCAAAAGGACGTTGCGTCACGGCAGGTACGTCAGTCCAGCGTCCTGGACTGATTTCACGATCCAATGGTGCGGTCTTCGTTGGGCGATGCACACCAAAGGAACCGTCGCCCCCCTGCGCTCAATTGTGGTGACAGGGTATTCTGCCACTCCGCACACACACGCCCCTCAGTGAGGGGCGAAAAGTCTCTTTTTTCGGGGGGAAGAAGAAGCGCCCGAAAGACGGACGAAGACCCCAACAGAAAACAAACGGAGCAAGAACCCAAAAGGAACAGAAAGGCCCCACGTTGGGTCTCCGCGGGCAAAACCCCAACCAAGAAACACGAAAAACGGGAAACCGAGTTTAGGGTCACCGCCGAGGGCAAAGAACCCCAAACAGTCCAGAAACCCTCCTAAACCTTGTAGAGAAAGAGCACCGCGAAGTTGAAGAACGACACCACGAACACGCCATCCCTAAACGGGCGAAGAGGAACAACCGGAAGTAGTAGGGAAAGGGGAGAAGAAAAGAAGGAGAGAGCGAGAAAGAGAGAAAGGAGGAGAAGGGCCGAGATGCGTATTTAGGGCGCCGCAGCCCGCCCGGGGGAAGGAGAAAGGAACGCAAGGGAGAGAGAAGAAGAAGAAGGAGAGAAAAGAAGACAAAGGGAGCGAGATGCGTATTTAGGGCGCCGCAGCCCGCCCGAGGAGGGGAGAAAGGAGAAAAAGAAAAGGAAGAGGGAAGTAGTATGCGTTTTTAGGGCGACGCATCCCGCCCAGACAGGAAGAGAGGATGAAGTCCAAAGCTCGAGGAGGAAGGCGACGAATCCCACACAGGGGCCAAGAGGACGAACACGAAATAGCAACGGAAGGGGGAAGAAGACGTCAAGCCAAACTACGTGAGGAAGAAGAGGAGTAGGAACAGGAAGACAGACACGAAGACGACGACGAGGAAAAAGGTGAACGACGCGAGGACACTCAGGCCATCCCTAAGCGGGCGAACAGGAGGAGGGCGAACGCGCGGGTCACGAGAGGCAGCAGGAAGAGAACGGGAGGAAGGAGAAGCCATCCCTAGGCGGGCGAAGAACCAGAAGCCGGGCACGCGGAAGACGAAGGCAAGAAAAAAGAACGAAGGGTGAAACGTAGCTATGAAGAGGTGGCTGTCTTCCCTTTAGTGAAACCTCGATCCTGGTTAAGTGTGAAATTCCGCTGGTCTATGATAAGCACGCTGAGGTCAAATTTTCCGACAGAGCCGGCCCGGGGTCACACGATGGGTACACCCGAGGATTCCCCACGAATGGGGTGTACACACTGAAACTCCAGATGGAGGGGTGCTAATCTTTCGAGTACAACTGGTAAGTTTCGGCTTGGATAAGGTTCTTCATGCATAAGTTTCGGCTCGCAATGCACTCGGCTTCCCTCTAGTGTCGAAAACGTCACCCGAAAGAACAAGAAGCACAAACAGCGCCGCAACCAAGGGGGCCAAAAGGACGTTGCATCACGGCAGGTACGTCAGTCCAGCGTCCTGGACTGATTTCACGATCCAATGGTGCGGTCTTCGTTGGGCGATGCACACCAAAGGAACCATCGCCCCCCTGCGCTCAATTGTGGTGACAGGGTATTCTGCCACTCCGCACACACACACACACACCGAGCAAGCTTCAACTCACAATGTCTGCGCGCTCACCAAGAAAAGAAGGAATGGATCGCGCTCAAGTCTCACATATGTGGTTCGTATTTCATCTCTGCAGCAAACAATTCAGCCGGTCAACAGGCTGAGAGCATAACCAGTGCCCTGTCTCATGCTCCCCTTGGTATGGCCTACGCGGTCTGTGGAGTTCTCCAGCCAGTGTCGCAGTAGGGTGGTCTTGCCCGTGCCCAGGAACCCGCTGAGGAGGATCACTGGCACCTCAGCGATTCGATTCGGTACGTGAAGAATCCTTACGCCGCGCCATCTGCAAATGTGCACATTCCAAACAGGACAAACATTCAGCCCACAGCGAACCCATGATGACCATGGCGTATTGCCGCCACTCTGTTTCACCCCAACTTAACCGTGCTTGTTGCATTTGTGTCAAGCGTGGGTTCCACCGCAAGCTCGGCGTGCCCGCCATTCCATATCCGTGTAGTTGTCAAACGTATTCACTCTTTCTTGGCTCTTTTTGAAGGTAGAACCTCCTTAAACCACAGCAAGAGATTGTGTTTGTTTACAAGAACTAATTCCAAGCAAGAAGCCGTGGGCTCGTCTTTTTAGCTCCTAACTATTCTGATATTGATATTCTTTGCTAAACGAAGGCGGCGACCACATAAGAGTGCCATTGCTTCCTGCTACCCCAAACATCAGCTGAGCGTGAAGGTGAAATTCGCAGCTTTTGCCAGCGCTACATCCAATTGTCTTGACCAACATCACATCTGACTTTGATCTTTGCTTTGTAAGCAAGTGTATCTATATTCATTTCAAGTGGGTGGTGGTCTGCAAGGGGTTTCCCAAGGTTCATTCCCTCGAGTTTTTGGATGTTTGATGTGCCTCTTGCATTCCGAGCAGAGCCATAGTCGAGTGCGGGACCTCTGCTTGAAATCCATGCTCACCAAGCCCGATATGAAGCCACCAAACTTGCAAAATACCGGTCTAACTGCTTGGCACCGGTCTCGGCAGCTCCGTCTCCGCACGCATCGAGGAGATGCCCCGTCTCCGGCGCAACGCCCGAGACCTGGCGGTCTCGAGTCGACGGTCTGACCATCCCTGCGGCCTCCGAAGGGACAAGCTCAGTGAGTCAGCAACAAGTGGTATCGAAGGGAAATACACCTCAGCTGAACAATTGGTATTCAAGGCATATAAGCAACAAAACCAGGACTTGTAGGGTATCTTCAAACCCCTATGTTGACCCGCAGACTTCGAAGTGTCAGCAACGCTTTAAGCCTCAGCTGACCAAACGCAAGACCCGATCAGATACTTCGGGAGGCGTTTGCCAAGGCCCCTCGAAATGGATCATGTCCGGCGGGTTCCTCGATGATTTCTGCGGGGAACCCTGCAGGGGCTCTACACCCCAAGCAAACATCACTCACTCTGTGAACAATTACCTATTTCTGCATCACTACTAGAAGGACTGCTTGCAGAGTTGGTGACTCATTCTGCAGGAGGACCGAGTATCAGAAAGTGTCCGCTTCGACACGTGGAAGCCATCCCCCCACAGATCGAGCCCCCTCGCCTCAGGGAGGCCAGCATGCCACAACCTCCCAGCGCCAGGCCGCTTCGGCCTCCAATGGGCCCAACTCCTGCGATTGGGTCTGACCCAGCTGAACCTTTCCCCAGAAAGATCTCAGTTCACGGTGTAGTGGCTTTCTGGGTGGATGGACAACCTAACACGGTGCCCGCGCCCAATGCAAACTAGCAAATTAAGGTCCGGCTCATATATGGGGCATTGCTGATTTGCAGCTAAAACGGGTTTCCCCAAAAAAGCCCCAAGTTTCGCTGCCACTGTGCCACTTATGTTCGATCCGCATCCTCCCATGCAAATTAAACCTGGCAACAGGCTGCCTCTTAAACTCTTTGATGAACTCCCTGCAACTGATCTGGAATCTGGGCCTGGGCAATTATATTCCGTGACTGACCGCGTGCAACAGTTGGACTGGGCAATGGATCCTTCGGCCAGGTGTGGAAAAATAAGGAGCTTCGCTAGCAAAAGATCTAGATGCAATTGATGCAAGATATCCTGCCCACAAACATGTAGAGAATCCAGCCCGTAGGATGACAAATACAACCCCCACGGATAATCTGGACAGCACATTCATGATGTCCAAAGCAGGAAAGGCGACGTCGA